TTTATGCCCCATTTCCCTTCCCAGTATTGCCATTAATGCTTCTTCTATTGTTATTGTTTTTACCCGCCAACCCCATCCCATCTTTTTGTTTGTTCCTTATTATCTTTACTAATCCATCATACTAATGCAATTACATATATATATATAATGCTGCTTTTTAACTAACCAAAAATAGGGCTTTAATTTAATACATGATCACCTGGCCTTTTACAACAACACACTAACACATGCTCTAATTATGATTTCTTTTTTCCTTTCTTTCTTTCTTCATAATTTGAGGTTGCTCAGAGCAGAGGCTAGCTCTGCCGACGGTGACGGAGAAGCTTCTTTGATTGACGGAGAGGGGGAGGCAACGGGCGGAGCTGCACACACTGGTATCACCGACCTAATTTGAACTGCTGGCGCCATCATCCTCTGTGGATGGTACACACCACCATTAAATATGGACCTCCGGCCAGTTATTTGGCTACTACTGCTTGAATTGACCAGTTGAATAATAGGTTTCTTCTTGATTGCCTCTGATATCATATTAACCCATTCTTGGTCATCATCCCCCCTTTGACCTGCTTCTTCCACCTGGTGTGCCATGATTTGACTAGTGTTTGATTGGTGGAGTGGCGGTGGTGGTGATTCTAGATTAGGAGGCAAGATTTTAGAAATAATTCTGGGTGGGGGAGGTGGAGGAGGGAGCAGAGAAATGAAACTGATCTTGTTTTTATGGCTAACACTAGTTTCTGAAAAAGGATCAACCAACTTGCTCTCATGTCTTTGATTGTTGTTGTTGTCTCTGCAGTGCCTCCTCTGCATTCTTCCTCTAATTGGCTGCTGATCCCTTCTTCTAATAGACAACTCTTCTTCTTCTTCTTCTTCTCTCTCTCCAATCATTCTTCTTCTTCTTCTTCTCCCAGTTCCGTTGTGATCTTCATCTTCACACACCACCATCTCCTTACTTGCCTCACACAATGGACCCAAATTTGGCACTGCACACACACACACACACACATAATGAATGCACTTTGGTTAATGGAACACCACAAGACTAATAAAAGAAAAGAAAAGAAAAAGAAGCACATACTTGCTTTCAAAGCAGACCAAGCAGTAATGGCAGCATTCTTCTCGGCTTGTTTTTTAGTCTTGGCTGATTCTCCGGTGAAGGTCATGCCGGCGAGGTCAACGGTGCTCGTGAAAACAGGGACGTGTCCGGGACCCGATCTCACAGTGGTGTATAAAGGAAGTTTTAAACCAGCTCTGTGAGAAGTCTCCTGAAGTAGATTCTTGTACACTCCGGTTTCATCCTGTATATATACATATAGAAGAAGCAAGCTCAAGTAAACGTACATAATATTATTATTATTATGATGCTAATATATATGGTGTGAGAGAATATATGAAATATGATATATGTACTTAGGACTTACAAGAACCCTAGCAGTTAAAGACCTGGAGGGGCCTCTGGAGGAGAGAGAATTGAGAGCGGCCTCGGCGGCGGAGTGCTCCGCCTGTCTCAAGGTGGTTGAGTAAGTGGGGCTCTCAAAGATCTCACCGTTAAAATTGACAGAAGCTTTGAATCGAGGGGCGTGATCTGGACCTTCCCTTATGCACGCATATGAAGGCAGATTGAAACAGCTTCTCTGAGCTAGCTCCTGCAGCTGATTCTTGTACATTCTGCAAATTTGCCTAATAATAAACGAAGAAACAAATAAAGACCAGTTCTCCTAATTAAACTGGAGAAATTAAGAAATCAAGAATGGAATGGATGTTGCTCTCTCTCTCTCTCTCTCTCTTTCTGATCTCTCTCACCTACTTGTATTCAATTGTTCTCTCTCTCCAACTTAACTAACATGACAGGAATTCTTTTTCCTTTCTCACAAGGGAGTTAAGTGTCTTTTTAACTTTTCACACAAACGAAATATACAAGAAAGCCAAGTCTCATCACTTTGCTCATTTATAAATCTTTTTCGTCTGGTTCAACTGTTCCTTCTGCCTATTATTAATTATTAATTATTAATTACCGCCTAACAGAATTATTAAATAATTGCTCGGATTAAAAGACTAGTTTTTTAGAAATGCAAAACCAATGATGTGACATGATATGAATATGATTTATTATTATTATTTTTAACTTATCAAAAAATAAAATCAGTGTTTTTAAAATTGTAGTAGACCAAGTGGGACTAGGAAAAGCCTATCACCAATTAATATTTGATGGAAACACGACAAATCACAAACAAGGTCAACGCAAGTACAGTCACATGGCCAAATGTCAACTATAACTAATTCAACAAATACAATACAATACAGCAACAGTAGTAGTAGTAAGACTAGCTACTAGGGATATAAGGAAAATCAACCCACACATAACACCACATCACAAACAACACTTCTGCACACCCCAAGTACTCAAACCACCCAATATTACAACATCACAAATATAATCACCATACAATTTTTCACAAACATTCCAAAACATCAACAAACGAAATCGGTTTTCGGTCTGTCATAACTTGTGCTCCGTTGATCGGACGGTGCTGCTACTCCCAGCCGTTCTATTGGGTTCTCCTCCCATTCTAGAAGCCAAGGCAAGAACTTCAGGGGACATTTCCCAGCTCCCACTCTTCCTTCCCCAACTCGAACGTCTCGGATGTATACCCGCACGATCACCCTCGTCTACTGTGGTCCTTATCTCAGGGGATGTTTCCCCTAATCCACTATCTTTGTTGTGGTTGTTGTTGTTGTTGTTTAAGCCATCGTTATCACTCAATTGCCCTTCAGTATTATCTAACACAGCACCAACATCTCCCCATACTGCTTTTCTCCCCATCTCAATGTCTTCCACTCCTTTACCCATATTTGGACTCACAAAACCGCCCGCTACAGATCGAGTTGGTAAAACCGGTTCTCTGGCTACCTTAGCCCTAAACTTGTTCTTCGATGGAGCTGTGGGCCCATAGAATATCTCTTTGAAGTTATCCACTACTCCTTTGTTATACGGATTTGCCCGTCGATCGTATCTATATCTAAAATTCTCGTAAGTAGTCTGGAGATCACATACAAAAGAAAGTTGTTGTTAACTTGAAATGCAAGCAATTTTTTACAATAACTAGGTTAAAGAGTAGAGTGTTTCACGAGTAATTTTCGGTGCAAATCTTTTTACCTGATTTGTGCTGATAAGATAGAGATGGAATGCCGTAAGACCACCAACAAACCAAACTGCTATAAATGTGTAGACAATTAGGACAATAGAAGCAGGGGTTTTGATCATTGCTTTCCATATTGATATATCCTCGGTATCCATGATCCTCTTAATGTAAACCCAACAGAAACCAAAAACATATACACAGAGTAGAGTTGTTGTGAAGACGAACATGAAGAAGAACCGGTAGTTTCTCTGCAATATAAGTTGGTTGTCAAAGCTAAGAAGGTGGTATATGTTAAATAACATCAACTGACCAAAAAATCATAAAACTGAAGTTGACATTGTAGTAAGTGCAATAAAATAGGTGGCGGTGAATGAAAATGGTTTGAACATAGTCAATCACCGATGGAGTTAAAACCAGAGCTTTTAAATTCACTTACCAAAGATAAATAATTCGCATACTTGCCTTTTTAACTTTCATGGTCAAACAGAGGTTTTTGGAAGTATATATTTTGTAACCTCTTTCGCTGAAAGGGGTTACCTAATACTAGCATTGTATCAGAAATACTAATGTTATCCTTTTCAGATGTCAGTTATATAAAATGAATAGACCAGAATAAAATTTTCAGATATGAGCAAAAATCAACGCAAATTGGTTCGCCGTGCAAAAGATAAACACGTCAATATTCCTGATTCAGAAAAGATTCTGGTGTAATATGAACAACTATATAACTAACATTCTATGTGTATAATACACGTGTACAACTCCATAAAATTTCAGATCAAAATGCTACAAGATAATAATTCAAATTACTCTCCTATTTTATTTTATCGCCGCATTTCGTTTCTGTTCATTACTCTAAAAAATATAACATATCAACAATTAAGTCATGCGTTTGGAACGGAAAAATGTGAGGAAGGAACTTTGAGTGATGGTATTAATTTGAATAAAATAAAAGACTTGATCTTTCTTTTTTCTTTTTTCTTTTTTACCATAAAAAATAGGTTAGTAACATTTTAAATGTATGTCAAAGATTTTCAGATACATTGACATCTTACCAGTCCAATACATTGCCCAACCCAAGGGCAGTGATGGTCGAACCGTTCGACACAGTTATTGCATATCGAACAGTGTGAACAACGAGGAGGTCGGTAAAGCATGCAGGTGTCACAATACTTGATCTTCACTGTGGTGCCATTAACTTCGACTTCCTTTATCCGAGGCAAGCGTAACTGTGGTGTTTGAGCTCCTTCTGCACTGCCATCATAGCCTTCAGGTTCTGGTGGATGCGCATTTCGAGGAATTATACCAGGATCTCTTCCAGATGTTAGCAAGAGAAGAATTAAATCCTGCAAATTAAAAAAAAAAATAAGAAACAATATTACAAAATTTTACCATAATAATTAAAACTGGGTGCTAGCCTCGAAGAGGGTGTTGCTTGTCCTTTGTGCAACAAATGCATTCTTTGGTGCCACTACCTAAGCTAGGTCTTCACCGATGAAAGGAGCAAACAAAAACACGGCCCTAACAGAGAACTCTATGAAATTTCTGAACTCGAAACACAGTACGACCAGTTATTTATTGCCTAAACAATGACCTGTGATAGCCTTATGTACATAACCCAAACTTGTTTCTTCTGCATCAGTTGTTTTGTGACTGAACCAGTAAACTACAATAATTCTGCTCTTTTTTTGCATAACAAAATCATCATTAGTTAACCTAGCCTGCACATCCACATAGATCTACTTTATGAACCTTCCGGCACAATAAATAACTTAAGTATGTTATTGTCTGTATAAAAATTGTATGTGAGAGAGAGGGAGCGAGCGAGCGAGATATAGAGAACATACATAAAACGTGAAAACAACTGCAATAACCATGATTGATACTCCCCAATGATTGGTAAAATCATCCATTAGCTTTTTTGCAACAAAGACACAAAAGACAGCGACGGGAGCCACGATCAGGAATATAGTGAGAGCTAGCGACCTTACATCTGGCCCAAAAATAAACCTTCCTTGAAGAAAAAATTTCTGCAACAACAAAAACAAGCAAACAGTCAAAAACTAAACCAGAAAGATAAGCATTTGCACAATCTACACAATAACTGAACGAGTTTTCATTAGATCAGATCCAAAAGTATGGATGTGCATAGCAGCTTACAATGAACAACTGTAAAAAGAAGTGTCGGGAAAACAAAACCAAAGGAGAATTAAATGAGTTGGAAGACGTAAGCGTAACCCAAGACACTAAGGGCTCAATAGAAATCCAAACACGGTGTGCACCCGAATTAGCATAAGATCAAGAAATGGAAGTTCCGATTTTTGAACCCAAAGTTCTGCATTTGGATTCACCATTAGGAGTAGCATTGATTTGTAAAGACAAATTAGATTTTAGAAAGCTGCATTCAGATTTCACGAATGGAAGCGATAAATTAATTATATATTACGATCTAATGATCAACACTGAAAACTACATGGTCCTTCATTGTTTCGTCTCATGATTTCACAAGGGAAACATAACTGCTCCAGGAAACCAAAAGTATCGACGAAACAACTTTATGAGCTCAATTAACTCAATGCAACCAACAAATAATGGAGATGGAAAAAGAACAACCCAGTTCAATGTTTCAAATAGAACGAAATACGCTTAGCCTTAACCCAATCTCTTCTTGTGTAATTTTTTCTCCCTCCGAAACTTCAATTAAGCAAGCATAAGCACTATCACTAAAGTTCGAGTTGACAGGAGTAAACAGATATAAGAAATTAAACTTAAAAAGAGCAAAATTACACTACAAACACTTAAATCAGAAATTGAAAACTGAAAAAAAAGGATAAAGCTCACATTGCTGCCTTTCCAAGTCTGGTAAACCCGTAGCTCATCCGACCCGTTTGTCGATCCGGACAATGGATCAGATCGATTGGGAGGAGGAACCACATACATTCTGCTTTATGAAATTACCCCACACAAGCTGAAATCTTTACCAGAAGAAAACCTAATACAAAAAATAATCAAGCATACAAAAAGAATGGGTAGTTCCCAAAAGAAAAAGGAGTGCTCTTTTTGAACTCTCCGGCCAAACAATTATCAGATAAACAGAGTAGTAGAATATTCCGGCAGACAAGCCATGAGGCTAGGTAGGGCGTGTTTGGGGAGAAGGGTTTCTTTTTTTTTTCTTTTTTTGCTGTGTATGAGTGAGTTGTGCTTTACTGTGTGAGGAACAGTGAGATTCGATGCGAGGGGTTCACGCTTTACAGTGAGGTCAAAGTGACGTGGCGGTCTGTGATTGGTTAATGGACTGGAATGGGGTCCTAAGAGGAGTTGGTTGTGGACCGGGGTTGCCATATTTTCTTTTTCATTTCGCATTTGTCGGAATCATTATTATCGCCAAACTTACACTACGCTTTTTAATCTACCTTCTTTCCATTATTTGACACGGAAAATAAATAACATAAGATCAATTTTACTTTTTTATGCAATTTATCATTCATTAAAAAAAAGAAAAAAGATGCGTTCCTATCAAAATGTTGCTGCTCTATTTGCGAATTAAAAAATAATAAATAAAAGAAAAACTCTTATCAGATTGATGATTTCATACGATTATACATTAGGAATATTTATACTGTTAATTGACTTATATCTAGACTTTTGTTATAATTTATACAGTTTCAATGTATCTTTGATGACAAAACAATAATCTACATACAATGCACGTGCTTATATTTCTGAGTCATTCTAATTCGAGAATGGTTTCTTTCCCGAAATGAAAATTCAAGTTTTATGATTGCACTGCTAATTATTTTATTCGTCATCATCTTGCCAAACGGATTTTTTCTTGTAATCGAAGTGGATGTTTCTCTATAAATCTGTTGCATTCAGTTTATTCTTGTGATAGGGGTTACCCTATCATTGACTCTGTTATTACTTGATCTTAATTAATGCAATTCATTTAAAAAAAATCAAAGAATTATTACATATAATACTATTACATGTACTGATAAAATTTTAACAGGATAAAAAGTTTTACAAACAAGGTTCTATGGTGTAGTGGTTAGCACTCTGGACTTTGAATCCAGCGACCTGGGTTCGACTCCCGGTAGGACCTATGTATTTTTAAATTGGGCCAAATTTTATGTATATTTCTTTTTGGGCCGAATTTTATGTATATTTCTTTTTGGGCTGAATTTTGTCAGTCCTCGGTAGTTTTCTTTTTGGGCCGAATTTTATGTATTTTTCCTTTTGGGCCGAATTTTATCAGTAAAACTAAATATCTAGATATTAGAACGGTCAAAATTGTCAACGCAAATTTTTTAGTTGGCACTAAAATATCGATCGAAAAGAAAAATCTTCAAAAAATAAGCGGTTATTGTGTTTGAATTGAGCTGACCTCGAATCGTCTACTATAAATACTAGTTGGGATTTGATATGCAGCAAATTAAACGATCGAAATGGGAAGTAGAAACAGAGACAGAAACAGAGCATCATCAGGAAATAATGAAGAATCTTCCTGATGAATATATATGTATTTCTATCCTCCACGTTTAGATTTATTCGAATACTTCAATAAATATATATATATGTAATAAGACTTTATTTACGACATTCATATACTGCTATACCTACAATACAAAACAATCTTGTACAGATCTGTGTTCGTTATACATTCTTAAAGGTAAATAAATAAATTAATGAACGTACACGTACAACAAACAGTCAAGCGAAAAGATAAAAAAATAAATATATAAGTAACGGTGAGCATATCGATCCAGCCGGAAAAAATTAAATCCAATACCTAAATCAACTGGATAACTACCACCGGAATTTTCCTGAACCGACAGAAATGATTTAAGTGGCTTTCATCAAATGTTCCAAAACCCGAGAGTTTAATGCCGTATGCTTCCATCCTTTGGGCGTCTCGTGGAATGGGCGACTGCCAAAGTCCATCCCACCAAGCAGGAGGTACAACAGGTGTTAGAGCACACTGATTAGGTTGCCTCTCACAACTTAATGGACCAGCAAATCTGTTCCACACATGCCCCCATCCAATCTGATTCTTCAAACCCTCCGAAAGCAAATTACTTTGGAAGCTACTGAGGAATGTAATGGTCGACTGGTTAGATGCATTCTCGTCTGGAAATACATCAATAAAATTTGTGAGAAAATAAAAAAAGGTACTTGTATAGAGAAAGGTACAAGTAATAGATATAAAACTTGATTACCAATTCTGTATGCTGCTGCAAGTGCTGCAATCAACTGAGCATAGGTGGTCCCCACACGTCTATGAGCTCCAGAGATAACGGCATGTTTAGCACGTGCTGCGAGGAAGAAATCAACAAATGCTACCCATCTTGGTGCTGGACCCCAGTCTTTAGCTCTGAAATTTAAGTTATTTAATTTATTTGCGTTGCCGGATATATTTCCTTCAAAGTGTTCGTAGTCAAAGTGAAGAACCTGAAAATGAAGATCCAATGAGTGCATGCATATTCATAGAAGCATACCATCTAAATAATTTTGAGGAGAATGGATATATGCATCATGAGCACCAAAAGTAAGACATTAAAAGAATAAATACCTCAGCAAATTCCTCGAGACCAGGTGCAATGTCTTTGACCATAGAAGGGGTATCAGAAACCAACACCACTTTCGGTTTTGTTGTCATTTGAAGATTATAGATAGATTTTCTCACACAATCCAAGGCCGCCTGCCTTGCTCTCACAGACCTGTAAACAATGAAATCTTTCAGCAAGAAGCATGACCCAACAGAAAATGTCAGCCTTTAAAATCTTTGTGAGGATTATCAAATTCTTTTTTGGGCGAACTACACCTTTTCTGGGCAGAAAATCATATAAGAGCAATAATTACTAAGTGTTGAGCTGCCTACCTATTCATCATCATGCGCATGTGCAGTGCAATATCTGGATCTCTCCCTCCATTTAAAGCCCAATTTACCGCCCATTCAACATCTCTTGAAGGAGAAATTAGAATCCTCATGAGCTCCCCAAACACATTAGCCCTGTAATGAAGTTCTTCTGGTCTTCCAAATAGATCAGAGGCAGCTTCCCTCATTTCAGAGTGTACGTTCTTTAAGAAAAACTGGGCAGCTACAGCATCTGTAGCATTTTGGAACCTGATGGAAGGTGGATTAATAATTTTATGACTATTTACAGATATTGGTTCGTATAAAATGATGCACATTACCATATGATAGGTTGCTCCCATTCTTTCCAATTACTACATAGAACATGTGTCCGTGTTGGCTTCTGAAAATCGTCAATCCTCATTGTTAGATGTTTCCCATATTTTGTTAGACAACGATTCTGTCTCCACAGATGCTTTACTTCTTTCATTGTAAAGAAAATGTTGGAATATGAGATGTAATCACCAAAAGGGTATTTTTCCCTGAAAGTCATAATATACACCGAATGAGTTGAAATACACAACCTTATTTGAAATATAAGCATCTTCCTATAATCTTATTGCTTCTCTTCACAAGGGATGTCCTTTTGCAAATTTCAATGTCTTTAATAGCTTAATTTAGAGAGATGATATACTACAACTAGCTTCCTTATATACTGACAGAATTGGCAAGAAAGGAACTAACAAACATGAAGTGATCTACTCAGATCAATGAAGCAAATTAGTAAAAACTTTAGGGATTTTCATTTCTTTCTTCCCTTGTCAATTTGGGGGGAGAGGGGGAACAAAAAGTGTTTAGCTTGTTCTGTTTGCATGTAACATAAGAACTAACAAGCTCTGGATAAAGCACAAAAATATCCAATGCAAACAGAAAGGCTTGAGAGAGAACCAATATGCCTGGTTTGCCCAACTATCAGTGATCGGTTCAACATTACGCTCAGTGCTGCAGCAGTTAAGATCTTGTATAACTCATTACCCAAGCCAGCTTCTGATGCTTTTGCAATCACGTAACCGTGATTGCAGAATTGTTCTGGATGGAGTTCACGTATTCTTGATGGACCTGAAATTAAAATTAGCTCCATTAAACTTCTCAATTCATCTTTATGCTACCCAAAATCACTATTCTCTATCTTAGTCATTCAAAATTGAACCACACATCCAACTGTAAGACATCAGCCGGTCGACCGCCATCAGATCTAGATAAACTTACATATTGTTTGGCATGAAGGAATCATATGGCATAGGATTGTAATCCGAAATACATAGAAGCGCCTGTATGTCACGACTAACATATAAATTCTCGAAGAAATCAAAAGCCCCATTAAGTACATACATTAATAAGCAATTATTACATGAAATATCAACTAGACCAAAAAGCAGGTGAACAAAGCTGAAATAAAGTAGTACCATTAATGGCGAAGTGATCGCGAATAATCCTCCTGACTCTAAGACTTTCCTCCAAATAACCTCTGCTGAAGATCTCACCCATCTCTTCGACCGTTGCGCATTTCTTTCCAACGTTAGCTTCTTCCAGATTATTCACCGTCGTATTGGCTGAAATGTCAAAATTTTCCAGTATTTCTAGGGTTTTATTCTTGATCGGGAGCTTCACCGATGGATCAATGGACCTGAGATCGACAATTAATAAGCCGAGAATGGTGAATACTGTAATCAAGATGAGGCAAAAGGATATAGGTACTCGGCGCCGGCGCCATGGGGTCGACTTCGAGCTCATTTTCCCGCCCGGCGGGATTCGGATCCAAGCTCGAACTGTTCGGAACTGGTAGTGGTGTTGCATCGGATGCAATCTTTCCAATTTTATATGTTGGGCTCTGGACAAATTTAAAACCCCATTTCGGCCCATTTGTTTTGTCAAAATTGCTGTTCAGCCCAAAGGAAGCATGATTCGTCAGTCCCATTTGGCCGAAAAAGGTACTGTGTTAGTAAATCTCTATTTTGCCCCTTAACTGCTAAAATCCATTCTCTCCTCCGTGTTCTGCGTTCTTCATTGCAGTGCAATAAATTAGGGCAACTGAAGGAAATTCAAAATCTGCAGTTGAAGAACAAGAAAAATTATCTCCATCTTCCTGCGTTCATCGTTCTTCACTGTGGCGCGAAGAATTAGGGCAAACCAGGTAATTTAACTGTTGAAAAGGAACAACTTAAATTGAAGTTAAATGATTGTCTGTCTCTGTATTCTTCTTAATTACGATAGCAAAATTATTTGTAATTGGTGAAGCATAAATTTTGTGTTTTTCTTCAAAACAAATAATTAACCTAAAAACACATTCAATTACATACCAATTCATCTTGTCCACTTAGGGGTATCTTTTCCATTAAGTTGTTTTATACAAGTTGATTCCTTCCACTGATGAAAGAAGAAAGTAATTCTCTCTGACAAAATTAATTGCTGTATATTGCAATAAAAATACAATGTATAACTATGAAAGAACAGCTACAAAACAGCATTCTGGATTACACTAATCAACAGATGAAGTGAAATAAAATGAAAATACAAAATGATTTAAGACAAATTAAAAGGGATAAATAACTGAGGCCCCTATTATCAATCACCTTTCAGATAATTGATTGGCCCTAGAAATCAAATCCAACGAAATATGCTGATCAAATCTTCAGGGCTCTTCATATGAACTTAGCCTACCAATATAATTTAATTAATTAATTTATAAAGAACGCAGCATCATATATAGCTACTGATATTTGGCTTTCACCACATCTTATTTTGCAGGGATGATCTCTTCTTTTGTGTGGCACAACAATTTTTTATGGCTTCTTTCTTCCCATCGGAGTTGCAGTCCCGTCGAAAAGCTCATCGATATACGTTTCTATATCTTCTGCCTGATACTTTACATACTTCTCCGTTTGCCTCCCCGGAGTAAAAGTCTGAGCGTACCTTCCTAGGAAGGATCTGTACGCTGGAATGACCATGTTCGATATCGAAACCCTAAGCTCCGACTGAAGTTGCTCGTCTCCGACTACCCAATTGCTCTGCGTCTTGTGTATCTCATCGAACATGGCATTAAAACTCTTGAACCTCTCCTTAAGCACCGGCTTCATCACTTTCCCATTCACAGTCAAACCCTCCTGCGTGAGACAGCTCAGCAATTTCCCCCACGTTTCCCGTTGGTACCCTTTGTGGTACTGCCTCAGATCCGACGACTTTTTCCGGTACCACGTGTCGCCCATCAGTGCGTTGAGCTCGCTCGACCCTCTGATCTTCTTCAAGATGTACCTTCCATTGTTCATCATGAAAATCGAGCTCAAAGAAGGGTCCTTGTAAAGCTTTGATCTTGCTTCCACATTAGCATCCATGAGATCCATCACTTTTATTATCTGTGCCTGGAAAGGAGACTGCTTCACCGCCTCACTACCGCTGCTGACATTCTGTGCCTGCGAAGTGTAGTCATACTCCGATCCAGTTGCCGAGTCAGCTCTCTCGATCTTCTGATGCTCCCGAAAGACCTGCTCCAATGTTGTCCTGTACGATGATGCAAATTCCAGGTAATTCATTGTGTACTTAGTTAACGGATGAACGGCCCCTCCTGGAACCTGATTCTTCGCTGAGTCACCCCTGATCGAGTTTTCTAATTCATTGAAAATCAAAATCATGGCTTCCCCCAGTCTGCTTCTTATAATCGACGCCTCCGTTTTCAGCTCCACCAGCCACTCTTCCGCGAACAAGGCATCCATCTCCGGCACAGTATCTCTCAGAGCCTCGTACGTGTCGATAAACTTGAACAGCTTCTCCTGGGCCCGCTTAGTCAGCCCAACGGCCTCGGCAAAATTTAGGAGCTGGATTGTTACGTTGTACGCCAAACTTCCGAACAGGGTCTCGGAGAATGAGGAGTGGTTGGAGAAGACGGAATCTGAGAGCTTGCGTTCGTTGGGGAAGTAAACTGTGGCTACTTGCTTGAATATTTTGATCCATGACTCGATCTCCCTCTCCAGTGACTCCCATTGCATCTTGTGCACTTCGTCCATGCTGTGCTTCTGAAAACCGAGCTGGTGGAGCCTCTCCTCCAGTGCATTTCTTCTCGCCACTAGGTACGCCTGGAAACACTCCGTTTCGTAGCCTCCGGCGATCATTGCGTCGGATAATCTAATCAAGTCCGACAGAATCTCGTCGGAATATCCTGATATAATATTGTGTTCTTGATCTGCGGCTTCTGATTCCGTGGGTGGGTTCTGATCTGATTCTTGATTGGGAGGTGATTGCTTAGGTGGCTTTGTATCTCCATTTTTATTATTACTGGGATCGGAATCTTGGATCTTGTAATCCTCGAGGAGTGACTTGAATTCTTCTTCCACATACGACATCAAGCGCTGGAGAACGCCTCCGACTCGATTGATAGAATAAGCATATTTGTAATCCGACGAGAATTTTGAGAGAGTTTTTGACAGAGAAGAAACACGATTCACGTTTTCGAGGAATGAAGATGAATCTTCTGCAGATAGTTGGCCCCATTTCACAGGGGTATCAACGGAATCGTAATCTTCGATCTTCGCTTCCATCAGGACCACAAATTGTTCTACGGAAATTGGCAAGTCAGGCGGGCCCGTGGTGTCGTCGATCAATTGGGCGATGAATTGATCAATCTCTTCAACGATTTTGTTGAGATCAGGTGGCAAAGCTGGCTTTTCTTCTTCTTCTTCTTCTTCTTTTTCTTTTTCCTCTTTGATCTCGGAATCGAGGGCATTTTCAGAATTGGGATCGGCTGCATCTGAGGGTGATTTAGGTGATGATGGATTCTTAACTCCGTTGTCGTCATCATCAGGGAGATCTCGACCCTTGTCATTTTCATTGTCATTGACATCGTCTTTTTCGGGTTCGGTTTTGGTATCGGTAATGTCTGTGGGGGATTTTTCAGGGAGTGGTTGGTCCTTTTCCGAGTCATCATCCATGGTAGTTTTGGAATCAAAGCTTGGAGATTTTTCAACGTGGGGTTTGTCTTTCTCGGCATCCATGATTAAAAGTTGTAATGGGGTTTGAATGTTTGTTGTCTTGGTTGTGACAAAGTATTCAGACAAAAATTGGCATGAAAGAGAGAGGATGGGTAGAGAATGAAGAGAGAGAAAGAAGAGAGATGAGGGAATGATGGGGAATTTGGGAGTAGCGCAAAACATGCAAAACCGAAAGTGTAGGGGAATTATCCATTGAATATGATATTTTTGAATTTGTTGAAGGAAAAAAAGAAATACTAAAAGTAAAATGGTGGTTGTGGTAGTTAGTATTGAGAGATGGAAACAAGGGCTTGTTGTTGTTGTACATAGAGTATCAATGTTTTGTTGGTGCGTTGTTCTTCTTATTTTAGGTAATGTTGGAGAAGTGCTCTCCACCACTAACCATGATCCTGAAAATTTCAACTTTCATATTATACCTATTGTTTTGCAATTCTTTTTTCCTTCATAATTTGTATGTATTACATATATTCTAATTATGACCTTATATTATATACATTAATTACTTGGAAGATAATAATGATATGGTTGACTATAACATGTATGCGAATCCAGCCGGTCAATCAACCATGTAAAAACATAAAAAAATGGCAATTTAATTCGAATTCAACCGCGAAAGAAAGATGGATCAATCAACATTGTTTTTTGAAATATTCGTTTTTTTTATTGAATTGGACAAATAATATACAAGGACTGAAAATTATGATACAATCCGAGATGCATTATGCTACATTTGTTTTCCCAGTACAAAGTGGCTAATTAAGGTGCTTTTTTTTTTTTGATAATTAATTAAGGTGTTTTTAATCACGCAAAGTTGTCTAATTAACAATAATAATAAGGGATGTAATGAAAATAAAAGGGCACTTGCGTAAATTCGGGTACCTTTCAGTAGCACACGTTTGGTTCGACACCTGCACTCAAAGTCTTGCGGAGTCACTTGCGAGTTACGTTCGCTCAGTACCGCTAAATATCAATCCGCAGCAGACTTCGTACAAACCAAACCCTAAATTCATCAATTTTGTTTTCCGAGTTCTTACTGTAGGCACTACATAAATGGAAAAATAAATAGAAAAATTCAGCATCTTTCTGCTCTAAAATCCCAGTATAGAAGAAAAAGAATCCCTATCCCTAATTTATTATGAAAATTAGCAATTAAGCTTTACCGATCTTGGAAAAATCCAATCTTTTTGTCCAAAGGCACCGGCTTTCTTCGTGAGAAGGTTTGTTTTTTATTCTATCATGCATTTTTCTACTGTTAAGGGTTAAATTTGTCCTAATTCTTGAAGAATTATGCTTCCTTTTGATGTTCCGAATTGCTGTGCTGCTTCAACTAAAGAATTGAGTTCCTTCTACTTTTCCTTGCCTAAAATTAGTGTCCTGTTGATCTTTAGACTTTAGCTATTTAATCCCACTAGTTATTTGAACATTTTTTTGGCAAAAAAGGTTGCTGGGACCAATTTGTGTTAACGATTTGTTTTCTTTCTATCAACTGTCATTAGCTGATTTTAACTGTGAAAGATTCCTCTAGGACTACTAAAAAGTTCGCCTTTTGTGATCACTTTTGGATTTGCATTACCAGCTATGGCCCAGATTGCTCTCTGTATATGGTGAGGGGAAAGAGGAAGTGTTCGTCTTTGAAACATGTGGACAATTGATATAAGTCTTTAAGTCTGTGATCGTAGTTTAGTTCCATTTTATCCGATTAACCATGTCGGCCTATTTGCTTTGAGCAAGGAGATGAATGAAAAATTATTCATTTATTCTGTCGGTCTCTATTAATGCTCCAATAGCTAAACTGGTAATAATCTAGGAAGTTTGACTTCTCTTGATGGAATCTACATCGGTACAATCTTTCAAGAATTTGACAGTCAAATAGATTTTCTATGAATTGATGACGGAAACTCCAAAAATCTGCTATTATTATGCAATATAATGATTATGTATTTCTATCTGGCATTGTGTCTGATGTAGTGTTTTGCCTTTTTGTATTTTCTCTGAACTATTTTCTGTTTTCTTTCTTAGTGGGTCTACTAGGAAGTCCTTGGTTCAGGCAGACGTGTGAGAAACCATGGGAAGTACTTTTAATCCACAAATCCTGGCTGAGAAGCTGTCGAAGCTCAACAACACGCAGCAAAGCATTGAGAGTATCCTGCTATTTTCTTAAAAGATATATCTGCTGATAGCTTTTTATTGGCATTTTAGTTCTGATTATGTCCATATATGCACTCGCTTTTTCGCTCACAATTTGGTTTTCCATCTTGAGAAAGTGATGCATGTTGAAACTCTCAGCCACTGTTAAATTGATATTTGATGTTTGTAACATCTATCTGTTATACTTATTTTATACCAAATACTCGATATGTTTTCTGGTGGGCCTACCTCGTAATTCATTTACCATCTTTATGTGAAACTAATTATGTTGATTTTCCTTGACATGATAAAGCTCTATCACATTGGTGCATTTTTCACATGAACAAAGCTAAACAAGTTGTAGAAACATGGGATCGACAGTTCCGTTCTGCTCCTCGTGAGCAGAGATTGGCTTTTCTGTATCTTGCAAATGACATTCTTCAGAATAGCAGGCGAAAGGGTGCAGAGTTTGTTGCAGAGTTTTGGAAAGTTCTTCCAGATGCTCTTCGTCATGTAGTTGAACATGGGGATGAGTTTGGAAAGAATGCTGCTTTCCGCTTGGTAAATTTCTCCTTTTCTACATTATACACACACAGACACACACGGGGATATATTATTTATTCTGAATGCATGTAACGTTACATCAGTCACAGGCACGAAAAATGATTTTGAAACGCCTGTTATCAATTTGTTTTCTTCGTTTCTTTCTCTTCTCCATGCATTTGAATTGTTTGCAATTGTGAATTTCTGGGCTACTTTCTTTGTGTGCCATTTGTTTGCACCTTCAACTCAGTATCACATTGCTACTCTCTAAAACAAGTTAAAGGGTAAATGATGCTTCCATCTAGGTCTCACATTCAGTAACTCTCGTATCGCATCCCTTCAAGTTGACCTTTGCAAAATGAAATGATGCTCAGATATGAATAAGATTATACGTATCGTTGATTTACCATTAGGCCATGGATATGCCTATTCCAGTGAATCTTAATTCGTGTTCTTGTTTCTTGCAGATCAGTATCTGGGAGGAGCGAAAAGTATTTGGCTCAAGAGGCCAAATTCTTAAGGAAGAGTTTGTAAAGAGGCAATTGGATAACGGCAATAGAAATTGGAAGCATGCTGCACCTGCACCCAAAATGGTACTTCTTTTAATTTGATCTATTTTCGCTTTTAAATCAAATTATTTCTGACTGTAAACTTTGTTTATTGATTGCTTCTACTCCCTTTTTGCAAACAGCGGTCACCTGTTGGAAACACATTGGACAAATTAGTTTCTGCTTATCAAGCTGTATACAGCAGCCAATTGGATGAGGATGGCACTTTTAACAGATGCAAAAGTGCCATCACCTTCATTCAGAAAGTGGATAAAAACACCGAGGGTGATTATCGATTAGGTATGGATTTTTTCTCTGTTATGACCTCTCGGTTGTTCCATCTGCCAACTCTACTGTTTCATTGTGTTAATCATATTTTTGCTCAAATTTATTTAAATTTTCTTTCAAAACTGATAAATTTATCTAAAATTTAACTAAATTTTCTTTCAAGTAGATGGTATCACAGATGAACTTAAGGGGCAGCATACTGTATTGAGGGACTGCATTGAACAGCTATCTGTTGTTGAATCTTCTCGAGCAAACCTTGTATCTCTCTTGCGGGAGGTTTTGCAGGAACAGGTACCTTGTCTGAATCAAACATGCATCTTTGACTTTTCTTCTTTCATCTAACCTCGAACTAACTGTTCATTGTTTAGGTGTATAAGCTGGACCAAGTCCGAGATCAACTTCAGGTAACAAAACAATTCATATATTGCTAACGAACGTTGTTTAATGGTCAATTTGTATGTTATGGCGTCGTTGTGTGGATTCGCAGAACTGACTCGAGTTTGTTCTCAGGCAGCGCAGACGCACTCGGAACAGGCAGACGGTATTTGCAGGCAGCTAATTGCTAGCAATGGTAATAATGGACAAGTTCTCTCTCACGAGCAGAGTGCAAATGGTGTTTCAGAGCAGTCAACGTCAGTATCTTACACACGGCATGTACCTGCCGCCCACGTTGAGGAAAACCCTAAATCTGCAGCAGCTGCAGTGGCAGCAAAGCTCGCTGCATCCACATCTTCAGCTGAGATGCTGACTTTGGTCCTATCTTCACTTGCATCAGAAGGAGTGATTGGCAATGCTATTATTAAAGAGTCTTCATCGAGCGAATATCCCTCTGAAAAGAGAGCGAAGATTGAGAACGAACAACACACTTCTTACTTCCCTCAAAACCCTCAGCCACCAGAGACGAACTCCGACGAAGCTCCTCCACCACCGCCATCATCACCGCCTCCTCCACAGCCGCCGCCGCCAATGCAGCAGCAGCAGCAGCCATATCAGGTGCCACAGTATATGCAAACTGCAATGCCGATAATAGGGGGTGGACCGTATGGATATACTAATAATGTGAGCCAACAACAGACGGCAGCGCAACCTGGTTATGCTCCAGTTGGTGGTGGGGTTACTGCATTTGATCCTTCGTCAAACACTTATCAAAGTTATCCGGCGGAAGGTGGTTTGTATGGTCAACCCTCTTCTTTGCCTATGGCCCCTATGAGCCGTCAGTTAGAGAACTAGTGTTTTCAGAATAGAGTTTGCAAGGTTTTTTTGGTTGATGATAAAATATTTAGATTTGATTTGCAGATACTTGTAGGTAGATGTCTGTAACTTAGGGGTTTGTTTGTTTGGCAATTTAAAATGAATTATATATGTGGAGTTGAAATGAAACAATATGTATGTAGGGTGGCTTGTTTGGATACAGAAGAATCTGACATTGTTTCAATGACGTAAAACACAAAGGTGGGACTGGGGACAAAGACAATCCGGCCCCCACCCCCCAGCATGCCTCTTTTAGCATTCAGCCAAAAATGTTTTCATTTGCCAATAATGCATGCGCAATTGCAATTGGATCATCATCAGTCAGCTTTTTAAGACCGGCCGAACAGTTGAATTGAAGCGGCCGGGAAACAAAAGCTGAAGAAAAGACTTAAGGATTTTTTGAAATTAGTTTTCTTGGAAAAGGGCGACTGTTGTCAGTTGGCAATGGCAGTGGCATAGATATGATTAAATATATTAATGAAAGAAGAAAAATTAGGATGGTTGTGAGAAGGAAGGTAATTGAATTTGTCTAACGTACGAACGCACGTGGCTATATATGCTAAATGAGAGATCAATTATTCAAAAATCAAAACAACAAAAATAAAACACTGGGCGGCCGGGTATATGGTCTAGAGTAGGGGACCGATATGATCGACCAATGTGGAACGTAACTAGTTGTTGCCATTATCGGTCAACATCTTCACTTGCCCAATTTCAATATATATGGAGGCCGAGTGAGGGAGGGAGGGAGGACCCTCCCTTAGCTTAGCTTATTAATTAATTTCCTCTTTTTTTTTTTTTTGTCTATATATAAGTATGGCCATCTCCACCTCAATTATTCCACACTCTTAATCATCAAAACCCTAGATCTATTTTTATCTTGCAAAATGCACTTTTGTTACTACGGAACAGAATCTGCGGCCGTCTGGTGGAACGACTCTTACACCATCCCTGCAGCAAAACACAGCGTTTCATTGACGGATGATCATCCATTGGAGCGCATACAGAAAATGGCTTCAGCTAATGCGGTTGTGATCTTCAGCATTAGCACTTGCTGCATGTGCCACGCTGTTAAGAGGTTGTTCTCCGGCATGGGCGTCAGCCCCACCGTCCACGAGATTGATCAAGACCCCACTCGACAAGCTGATCTTGAGACCGCTTTGCTACGCCTCCTCGGTGGCGGCTCCTCCCCCGTGCCCGCGGTGTTTATCGGGGGCAAGCTTGTCGGTTCAATGGATAGTGTTATGGCCTCTCATATCAGTGGCACACTTGTCCCACTTCTCAAACAAGCTGGTGCCCTTTGGCTTTAGTACTTTTATCTAATGCATGATTCATCTCTTCATTTTCTTTTTTGAGTTTTTTTTTTTTTCTTTTTAAGAAAAACTCTTTCTTCGTTTCTTGCAAATCAAAGTGTTCGTGGAACAAGAAACGTGAAAGAAGCCAATTAATTACAAGGTGTGTGTGATCAATATAATTGGCATGTAATTTCTTGAACATATGCACGTATCCAAGAAAGAGGAGTGTACCAAGTACTACATATTAATAACTACGTACCCTTTTTCACAATATTAAGCTTGGCATTATAATTTATATTATTCTCATCTACCTAACTTCTTCAATTACATAATAAAATTACATAAAAATGATAAATATTATTTTATATATATAAACATTTACTTCACTAATTAATTAACTCGTTACAAGAACTGGTAATAGCTAGGTCGTCTTGATATTACTAATTGTTATTCTAGTCAGAGTTCATTAATTACTTTTCTTTGTAATTAGTTCCACATTTTTCTGTAATCAGATCAAGATTAAAATATCATACACAAGCATATATTCTGTTATATATAATATAAGATCAATCATACAATGATACAATATAGATAAAACAAAATTAAATAATCCAAAATTCTATGGATATCTCTAAACAAAAAATTAAATAAATTTGAACAGTAATACCACATGGCGCATTTGAGCATGACAATTACAAATTTGGACCCAAGTAGTAGATCAGGCCCCCCTTCCTCATGGTCTGGTCTGACCAATTAATTATTAATATTTTTCGAACCAATTTTTACAATGTAATATAATGATCAATAATTATAGCTATGTTTTTTTTTTTTTTGTCTGTTCTATTCCATGTGATAATTTAAACTCAACATTGGGCAAGTGTTCGACACGTCTTATAAGAATGATTTAGCATGTAATCCACAGATTAATACGTTCCTCTTATACGTGGGATTAATGTTATTAAAAATTGGAATTTCCTACGTGGCCAACACTTTGCTGATAAAAACTTCAATTATAGATGAGCTAGAGAAGACCACCCTAAAACTATGGCTTTAATTTGTAGTCAGGTGAGTTGGTTGTATGATTATTCCCATTAATTCGTATAAAGTTGTCCAAACTATAGACAAATTTTACTATTTTTGGTTTATTATTAAATAAATAGATGCATTGACGCAAATTATCAAAAAAAAAAAAGATGCATTGACGCATTCGTTTGAAGCTGAGCCCAATATCACTGAACTTCCCATCAAAGAAAGCCCAAATACTTTAAACAAGTTAAAAAGCCCCTGTTTTTAAAAGACCAATAAAAAACACACTTTTTCCAGTTCTAACACGGCCCGACCGCACATTAACCAGTTCCAACGGCGCGTTTAATAAAACAGAAGCAGAGGATCAAAACCTCTACAGTGGTGGTCAAGGTCAAACAAAGGGTCAGTCGCTCAACTTTCTTCACTGCGATTTACATCTGACAAGATTCTACAGTATGTAAACCTCCTCATATATACTTTTACCCAATTCAACCACAAGTATACAAATTAAAACTCTCTAAAGCTATCGAAAGTGGAAAAAGAAAAATTAAAAAAAAGGTAAACACAAACTGAAATAAAAGGATATTAAAAAAAGAGAGATAGAGAGAGAGAGAGAGAGAAAAAGAGAATCGCACTGCACTGCACAAGAGCACAAAGGGCAGCACTCAGACGCGTGAAAATCATTAAGATCTGGTCTAGGGTTCCTCAATTTCAAAGTGTAACTGACGCATTATAATTCAAAACCATTAATTCATTGTTTTTAGCACTTCTGATTTGAATGAATTCGCGGTAGGTGGGAGGTGAATTTGGGGATTTTACGATTTTATCTATCCAAGGGTTTGAGCCGGAATACTTCGGCTTTGGTTTCGTTAATTTTGAGATTTTTTTGGAGAAAACAAATGCCGGAGGAGGATTTGGTGGAGCTCAAGTTCAGATTATACGATGGATCAGATATCGGCCCTTTTCGATATTCACCAGCTTCGACTGTTGCTATGCTCAAGGAGAGAATTGTGGCTGAGTGGCCTAAAGGTTAGCTTACTTCTTCACTTTTCTGTTTCCTTTCTTGTCGGTGTATCAAAATTGAGCTTGTGTGATAGAAATTGATATTTTTGTTATTGCGTGTTTGGTTGCAGTAAGAGCTGTATATAATTGCCGATTGAGGTATATGTCAATTGGTTTAGGATTCGAGCCTAAATTTACACACACACACACACACACACACACACATATATATTTTTATAATTTATGACTGGAAAGCCTGGT